TCATAAAATCATATTGGTGGGTATATGGAAATCTCATGTAGAAAACATGAGATAATGCCATATACAAGATGTTAAAGAGCCTTCAGGCTGGGTATATGGAAATCCCATGTAGAAAGCATGAGGCCATGCCATGTACAAAAGTTAAAGGGCCTTTAGGCCAAGTGGGAGATGTTGGAAATATGGCCCTATCAGGCATTTTTAACTAGGGAATTTATTTTTCAATAGTGGTACAGAAGCCATATTAAATACTATATGTAAAATCCCATGTGGTTAACATGAGGCAATGCCATATACTAAGGATCTATTTTGGAGCTTTTATAAGATGTCGCATTGGAGGAAAAACCCAATGTCACGGAAAGGAAAACCCAATGATGTGTTTGGATTTATTGTAAGAATTTTTTTATATTATTTAATTTCTAAATATCTGTTTTTTATTTATCAAGTTGTAGGAATGCTTGGACTACATCGTATTATGAGTGTCATTAGTGTACTAATGACATGTTTAGCTTATTGCATAGGATTAACAGTTAGGTGACAACTTGTTAATCCTAATTGGCTGCACTTAAAGAAATTAAGGCAGGAGTTATACTTGGATCTCAACTCCCATAGACCATGAATGTAAGAGTTACAAATTTAACCCCTCAAGTGAAAGAGATATGGAGGGAAGGATAGAAAAGAGGTGAAGTAGATTCACCAAGCGGACTCTCAAGGTAGCTTGTCACCGGATGGCTTGGTCTATAGGTTTTGGTATGTAATCTTAAGTCCCTCGTATGATTTAAGGACAGATCCGAGTAAGTTGTTTATTTGTTTGTTTAATTTTCAAACCAGTAAATGGGTATTGTTTGGGTGTTGTTTGTATAAAGTGTTAGCCTTAAACAATTCAGGAAAAAAGCGATTTACAATGCTATGTTCTAGGCTTAAATCCTTATAAGGGTAGGGGCCTCTCCCCTCGCTCACCCCAAAAAAAACCTTAAACAATTGAAGTAAGGCGTACCTCCAAAGTGGCCCTCTCCCCACTACTCACCTTAAAAAAAAAAGGAAAAAGTTTATATAAGGATGCGACCTTATCATGTAGAACTACGGATGCACCTCAAAATTTCATTGGAAAAGGTAGTTTTAATGTTCAAAAACCTTTTGATTGATTATCTTGACATTGAGATGTATGACCATGAAAAATAAAAAGATTTTACAGTTAAAAAATAGTGCATATTATCTACACCGTCTATTTTCAAGATTTTCATATGTTTATAGATCTACTTGATTTTATCCATTTTTTAAATTTAAAATTTTATAATTAGATATAAAAATAGATTCTGAGATAATCCTAAAAACATTGTACATCAAAATTATATACCATGATAAAATTTGAAGGTATACCTTACCTCTACACGTACGGATGCATCCGTATACCAACTGCACCAAAAAAAAAGACTTGAGAATTGATAGTCTAGATAATGTATTACAACATAGGAT